ACATATACACTTCACCACCGCTATTCCTTATGTAAGTCCAAATTTTGGCAGGAGTAGTTTATAAGGAATACACTTGGCCATATCCTGGTTAAACTACAGCACAAACAAACTATCTTGGCTAATTAGTATTTTTGCATTTTCTAATACCATCATTCACATTAGAACTTGATCCCTCATATACAGGCAGCCTAAAATATTCCTAAAGATGCTTTTCAATTCCAAGTTTTTTTTTCTTTAGACACCACAGTATGGAGAAAAAGGTGAGGCCTGCTTCAAGGAATAGAGTTTTTTCTGCAAAGAAGAGGCCTACACACATTTAAAAAAAACCCCAAAACCAAAAAAAACAAAAAATGGACAAACCACGCCCCCACAGCTGTTAAATAATTTGTAAATATATTCAAAAATAACAAAGCACAAATAGATCCAAGAAATATATTCAAACTTAAATTCCATATAACTATTCCCACTGGAATAATCCACTACTCTTTTCACAGAAACGAAATCACTGAAGCATGCAATGTCCTTTAATGACCAGCTCTAGACAGATCCCATGTGTGATGGGTATTATACTGGTACTATGTCCAGGGTCCAAACAGAGCTGCACGGACCTCCAACTATAGACTATCCCTTTTCCTTTTCCCCTTTGCACCCCAAAGGAGACCAACAGGCATCCAAGACAACACATTTCTACTCCAGATGTGAGTCAGACTGCCAGTCAGACCTCAGAACTGGGTTGCTGCTCAGAAAGAAGTTGCCAGAGAGATGTGGCCACTCAACCCCATGACCAAAACCTGCTACTCCCAATGAAGTTCTAGATAAAGATCAAAGCATTAATCACGAGTCCCCCAAACAACCCTGTGGCAGCACTGCATTCCAGTGACATTAGTCATGTTACTCCAATTCCCATATTGCAGTGTGGGCACAGTAACATTAAAGTAACTTATCAGCACTCGTCAGTCTTTCAATATCATATTGCAGCCCATTTTCAAACACACTTTACTGTAGCTGGAGTGCAGTATTGCAGCTTTTTTTTTTTTTTTTTAATCACCCAGTCCCACCCCCCCGCCGCCGCCTCCAGGTTTGGGTTTACTAGGCAAAAAGAGGAGGAACTTTCCCTTCAGATGCTTGCTAGCAGCACTCAGTGTAGCGCATGATCCCCATAGCACGTGAAGGTTTGCTGTTGGGCAGCTCCCTTAGTTGGAGGCTGCACTGCCCCACCATCTGATAAAAGAAACATTTGTATTACTGCTAACAAACATAATCAGTGAAACAGTAAATCATAAGTCTTAAATAACAGTTGCATGATAAATAGTCTCCTTAGGATGCCAATAGATACAAATCCATATTGTGTGCATCATCACATGAATCAGAATGAAAAAAAACCTTGAAAAAGTATCTAAAAAGGTCTACTTCAATTCTCAGAAACAAACTTGCATCCTGTTTTTGCAAGTTTTCACATACTACTAAGACCTTTGTATATGCCTGCAGACACAAGCATAGGACTGACTTCAGGTTTTGTTTTATGGTAACCAGGATTTTTTGTTTGTTTGTCTCCTGTTTACAGCTAGAGCAGGACACATACAAATCTCTGAAGACAAACTTAAAGATAAATGATCTGTTTGAAAGAGATTCATGCTGCAAGTGTGTTACAGCCAGCCAACAGAGATTAGAAAGGGCATGGGTTTGTCTGGCTCAAGTTTAATTACCATCTGGGGCAGCTGATGGGACTTTTACATTCAGTTTATGTAATAGACACCCTTACTAGCTCCTCTGCAATCACTGCACCTCAAATTAATGCTAGAATAAACTCATTTGTTTTTAAATCAATCTATTACCTCTTCCGTTTAATTTATGTTAATGTTTGGAAACATTAATTTCATTTTCCCACCAAGATACTCTCTTAATGGTAGTGCGAATCATTCATTGCCACATACTGAAGTAAGAGAGAGCAAACCTTATTCATTCAGGTTCAGCTCTTGTCCTCCTGGGACCACAACATAAAAGCCGTGGCTCTGCTGTGCATCAGGTAATCTAGAACTTGTAATTACTGTCACTGTAATTTCAAATACAGCTGTCCTCATCATAAAAGAAATAGATGTGATGCCTGAATTACAAAATGCCCATAAATTTGTCCACACCACGTTCTTAGCCAATACATCAGATTTGAAATACCATGCTTTACTTATTTCTTATATAAAGCAAAACTAAAATTTGCAAAGTCTCTACCATTCCAGTTGTTGGCTTCCATCTACATTTTACATTAAAATAGCCTTAGAAGAGTTCATATGGATCATTGTGAAAAGGAATGGCACACAGCCAAACCACAACATAGTGCAAAAGTAGGCCAGTCATCTGCATAGAACCTGCTGTCATTAAAATCGATGACTAAAGTGTTGTGGAATATTTTACTTCATTCCTGTTAGAAATGCAGAACAACACTGCAGTCGCTGCACAGCAAGATGGGATTTAATGCTCTAGGCAAGAAGCTGATTTTTTTTTTTAAAGATAGAAATGAGCCACTATAAAGAATATTATTTCTAAAAACCTGATGGTAATCCCCAAATTGATGCATCTGATGCACACAATTAAAATACAACATTTTTCAAAAGCAACATGCAAGTTACAAGGAAATTTTTTCTGTAATTATTGCTGTGCAGACTGGTTTAAATAAAGAAGCTTTTCTGCTCTTACAGCAATAACAGACAGTCTGTGGGAATACAAATGTTAAGTTTAATTTCCCTTTTTCATGTACACTAGTTGTTACTTTTATATTCTTGATAATTTTCAGCTTGTAAATATATTTTTAAAAATAAGAAGAAAGATCAAAAAGAGATGAAGTGTTATCATGTCATTTCCAGTTCCTTCATTTCAAGATTTTCTGCATGAACTGAAAGGTATAATTGTCTTCTGCCTGTAAAGACAGCTGGTATGTACATGCAAATGAGGGTCACTGTAATTTCCATAAGAGACAGAACTAGTGTTGCATTGGACATTGGTCCCTTCACAATAACAGTCTAAACTGTTGGTGGGAAAACACAATAAAACAAAAATTATTAATAAGTAAATCGAAACCTTGTGAGAAAATGTGAAGAAGTGTTTCCTGGAAAACAGATCTCTAAAAAGTAGTTCCATGTTCTTGGAGTTTGCCACATAAAATTTATTTATTTCCATCATAGTACCACCATAGAGAAGAAAGTCTAATTACTGTTGATGCAATTTAAAGCTTTGTTCTCCAAGTTGTTTATAAGCTGTCAAATGTTGACAGCAAAACCCCCATGCTTTTTATATGCTATAAAGTAGTGATCACCTCAAATTGTAAAACTTTAGATAGGGATGTCTGAAATTAAATCTAAGAAAACAGGTGGAAGGGATTTAAAACAAAAAGATTCAGCTCACTTCAGAGGGGGTTGGTCTCCTTCAGAGGGGGCTGGCTTTTTTTGTGTGAAAAACTTGAATTCTAATTTTCAAGACTGAAATTGGGGATTTCTGTTCAAGACTACTGAAGGATGAAAGTACTCTTGTGGTTTGAATCTGGAAAATAATGTTAATGCTTTACCTGAGTATTTCAAACTCCTGGAGTTGGCTGCTGTGCAAAAAAGCCACTAATTTTCATTTCTGTTTCCAGACAGGTTCATTCACCAGTATTACTGTGATGTCAAGCAGAGTAGAATGTGCACAAAGAAAGCAACTATGAATGCAAACGATTACACATTACATAATTTTTAAAATCTACAGTATAAAACAAGATAGTCTTTTTATGCAAAATGGTTGTTGATGGCTTCACTGTTTTCTTACATGTGATTTTTAAATCATGTCATTGCTCCCTTTGTAAGCCATACTATTTTGTTCTTTTATGAAAACTAAACAAAAAAAAAATCTCACTGCATTTTTTGCAAATAGCTCCAGTACATATTTGGTTACTGTGCTTATGCATCTAGAACAGACTTCCATTCAACATAAACCTGATTATAGATTCAACTGTTTTAATCTTGTGACGGATGCTTGTAGAGCATATTCTCTGTATACTCTTAGTTCTACTGTTTTCTGAAGTGAAAAATAAATGGAATATGTTGCTGAGTTTCCTCTGTATACATACCTCCTATGTGGCAGAGGCCTTCTCTATTTGTGAATACATTAGCTTTATATAGAAACTTCAGATAGGGGGAAGAGAAAGGGGGAAAAAACCTCAAGGTGCAGAAAATATAACCATCTATTCACACTATTTCGTTTGTAAACTCTATATTCCTATGCCTTTGTGAGAGGATGCAAGCTGCCTAACAGGCAAGGTAAAAGAACGCTTTCCTGAGTTAGTCACCTTATGTAGCCTGAGCAGCAGCCTGCCACAGCTACCAAATTGTACTACCCACAGTTTCCCTTCTCGTCTCCATTTCATGCTGCCTTTTCAAGTCATTAACATTTTTTTCTCCTCCTCTTTTCCCCTTTTGAAGGAGTAATTGGTTCCTGTCTGTAGTGCTGTCCATCTGTGCTTGCATGGCTTTTTCCTTTTTGTGCTAAGAAAATCCTCATCGCTGCCTCAGTCTAATACCAGGTGCAGCTCTCAAATATTTACAGTACATCAGAACAGCGCCTAGCACAAGAAAACCCCAAACAGGATCCCAGTTACAGAAAGCTTTGCATCTGAAAGATCTATTTATGCAGAGAGCTGGTCCGCCTACAACAGTGCAGCTCTTAGCATTTTTCAACAAGAATAATTTAAGGCATCCAGCCTTTTCCTACAGAATTTAGACAAAGGAGAAAAGCAGAAAGAAAAACTTCAAACAGTTATGCACTTCCTTTACTGGCAGTACTGCCAGGCTGACACTGAATAGAGAGGCTATTCTTATTAATGAAATGTGACTGTGTTTGTAAGATCAGGCCTTCGATTTTAAAACTGTCAGTGCAAGTAAAGACAATAGTACATGCAAAGGACTGAATTCAAGTATTTTAAATATCTTTTCAAAGACTTTATGGACAAAAAAAACTTAATACATGTCACTCACCTGAAAAAACATTGGGAAACGTCTCTGCAGAAGCCTGCACCCCTGAGGACTTTCTTGAATGAGTCAAAGGCACTCTTTCTGTTTGAAATTTCTCTCTAAACCCCTTGTGCTCCAAGTAGCCTGCAGAGCCCACCTTCTGTGTTATCTCACATTTGTGATTAGATACCTCTTCTGTCCAGTCTGCGGAACGACTAAATAAACCTGCCAAACTAGCAGACCTCTGCTTCTTGATTGAGACTTTTTCTTTTTTGTGGAAGGACTCCTGCCTTCTTGTAAAAAGTGGGCTCTGGGATGGGGAGGGAGATGGTGAATGGTTGGGAGAACTCAGTTGCCTAGTTGTGGTTTTGATGTAACAAGGATTAATTAGATAGGGCTTAAAACATCGGGAACCAAGCATCGGACTGCCTGCTGTCCCCTCAGAGGACAAAATGCCATTTTTCATTTCTGTGGATAAACCATTATGCAGGTCCTCTTGACTGGCTGACAGAGGGTGTTCCTCTTCCTGAGTCTGAGCAGCATGATCATGGCCTGCATCTGAAATATCATCCTCTGTTACTGAGTCCTGCAAATCAACAGCCTGCACTTCAGCAATTTTAGTCTCAGCATCTGCTACCGAGGTTGGAAAAGGTCGTGTAGAGCTGTGTGTCTGAGACCCGTTTTCTACCACAGTTCTATTGGAATCATCTTCTAGTTCACTAGCTACAGCATCCACTCTAGCAATGAGCTGTTCCTGTTCCTCAATCAATAGCTTACATTCTTGTGTTTCAAATAAGCCGTTACCAGGAGAGCCTGTGCCATTTACCGCTTCTTTCCGTTCACGTTCAGTTGCACAGGAGACGGGAATGTTTTCTGCAATTTCAGATATCGCTGGAAAAGCCCCCTCAGTGTCTGGACTCCTCTCTTTGTCAGTGGTAGTTACTGAAAGAAACCGTTCAAAATCTAAGGGGGCTGCTTGCGAATTAGCCATGTGTCGGCCTATTGTTTTGGTGACAAGGTCCTCAGTTCCAATGTTAATTGCCCCCTGCTGCTGCTGCTGCAGTCTAATAGCTTGCTGGATATCAGAAAGCAAGTCCTCTTGTTCTGTGGCTGAATGGAAACTGTATATATCCGTATCAGAGCCAGAGCTGGTCCTTTGTCCATCCTGTGTCTCTGCAGCAGCTGGGACAGTTTCATTTCTGATTTCAAAATGTTCCCCATCTGTGTCTGAGAGACCCCCTTCATCCGCAGAGATGCTTATATCTGGAGTTTTGGTTACAATTGAATGAGTACTGTCCAGCTCTCCAGCCTGCAAGGCCTGGCTTTCCAAAACATCCTCCCGTGAACTACTATTCCCATCTTTAGCCTTGGACAGATTTTTTCTGATCCTCAGATTTGAAAACACCGAGGCCCTCGAGTCTGACTTACCCTTCTTCTTACTGGATTCACTTCCTTTTGCATGCTTCCCCAGTCCCCTTCTGCTTCCCGATACCTTCTTTGTGCCATCTGTATCCTTGGGCCCAGAGGCGTCCTCTCCTCCTTCATGTACATCACCTGTATTTTTCTTCAGCTTCCCATCTTGATTCCCCATGATTTTTCGCAGTGCAACACCTTCGGCAGTCAAGCCATGCTCCCGGATTTCATTCCTTTGGCCTGCCGGCGAGATCCCCTCTAGCGATCCAGGTTTGCTTTCAAGCGGTGGTGATGCAAGTGAAGCAAATGCTTGCTGTGACTCTCTCCCATCTGCTAGAGCTGCCTTTTTGCATAATGTGCTGCTTGCACAGGGCTCCGCTGGGACATGCTCAGTACAGCACTGAGAGCTGCAGACAGCTCCTTCCAATGGCTGCTGCTCACGGAGCTGCCTGCTCTCCAGGCTTCTGCTGCACTCTTGTTTCTTTAGGAAGGATTCTGTGAAAAGTATTTCCTTTATAAAAGTCACTTCTTTTTCTACGGTTTTTATTGCCTGCATTGCAAGCTCAGCTCATCACCAAATCGTTTATAATTTCAGGATTTCAATGGTCAAGTTCCTGGAGGGAAAAAGAAAAAAAAAAAGTTAAAGCAAGGTACTTTAATTACTCTGCAATTGTTTAAATGAATAACGTTGGAAAGAGAAATATTATGACTATTTAATAGTTTATAAGGTGCTTAAGCATATGCTACTTTGACAGATTACACAGTACCTCTGGTGATTTACGTGTTTACTTTTTAAAGGCCACCAAAACACGATACATAGTTTTAAAAGGAGAGTCACTCTGAAAGTAGATAGAAGAAAGATAATAAACAAAAAATTCTTTCCACAGTTTTAAAGAGTTGCACTTAAAATTCAATGCATTATGGTAATTACACTATAAAAAGCCTCCCACAATTTGTATTCTGAGAAGGTAGATATACTATTATTCCCAGGAGAATCAAGTCATCAATATTAAAACATACCACCATTGTTTCCCCTGATAAGAACATCTGGCATGAAACAAGACAAAACAAACAAGAAAAATAGCACTATTCAAATGCTACTAAGGAAAAAGGATACAGTAAAGCATTCCTCTATTTCACCCTATGTATTTAATAATTGATTTAAACACTGCCAACTTGCTAACTATTTTGGAAACTTGTGCAACAGTTTTAATCAGTTGCTTCTTCTCCTCTGTTTTTGGTTTAGATTTATAAGCATCCATATTTCATAAATACGTTTCCTGAACTTCCAGACAGGTACTCCCTTCCACCTTTAAAATTTAGATTTAACATAACTGGTATAGAAACAAAAGGGCATAAGAATGCCAAATTGCCCAGTTGGATCAGTTCAGCATTTCAATATCTTGGTTCAACACCAGCCAAGAAGTAATTAGGTAGATTTCTGTTTATGATTTATCATCTCTAGACTGCCTGGTATATTAGGTTCAATTTCTGTGAATGACTTTACCTATTCCTCACACCTCTGAGCTTCTTTATTAGCAATTTCCCTTTCAGCAGAGATTGCTTAAAACAATACATCATTCCAGGGGAATGCATCCTATTGGTTTCCGTAACTCTTAGTTTTGGTATCATTCTCTTCCTACCAGAGGTTTCACTTGCTTTCCTCTGCCTTAATACACATTAAAGAAGAAGAAGAAAAAGAATATCATTCACACTTTAAAAACTATGCAGGCACCCCCCCACAAACACTGGTTTTTTTCAATGGATGCTAAATACCTTCACAAATCTGGGCTGTGGTCATTGTTAAATAATTGCTGTTAATTCAGTTTGGAAAGAATAACGCTGTCAATAATACATGCAAGTAAATTATTTTGAACTATCATAATTTTTTGCTTGTGCTTCTTGTTCACTTACTGCTCTGTTGTAAGTCCTGTTCTGAGGGGCCTGTGGCTTAGGCACCAGAAGTCTTCTGTCTACAAGAACTCAAGTGTTGTAAGTGGATCAGATGACTTTGCACACTCAGTGGGTTTTTTTAGTTTTCACTTATCTAATGAAGTGATTAATCTTTTTTCTTTTTTTTCCAATTTTAGCACTCAGCATTCATAAAGATACTAGCAAGATAATAAATATAAATATTTGCTATATTTGCTATAAATACAGCAAAACCTGCAAGAGCATGTTAAGTGATTTTTCTTTTTTACTCCATTCCTGATTTTGCTTTCTGTTATCCTACTTAGTTTCTAATTTGTTGCAGTATTTTACCTTTTACAGCATTATTACATACTTGGAAAAGGTTTTTGAAAGCTCTGGTAATTTCAGTCCATCTGAAGATACACAGTAAGAATTACTTAAGGCACAGTTTGAGGGAACCATGGTAGTATACTACTACCTTAATCGATATGTTCACTGACTAGAACCGACAAGGATCTAACCCTTGATTACAATGGGAGTACTTGTAGCTTCCAACCCCATTTAAAAACTCTTCTCCCACTAAAATCCACCAGAAATTAACACAGTGCAGAAGTAATATAAAGATACTGTGGACTGAACGTGTAAGGGAAATGTAGAACTAGTGCGATGTTCTGAAATGTTCCCTTTCCTTTCTTCTCTGCAAACTTGCATTACAAACTCAACACACTCCCATTCCAACAAATGATAATTCACCAGCAGTAATTACACTGCAAATAATGCTGCAGAACCAAGCCATTGACAAAGCTGGGGTTATAAGACAGTCAAGTTGATCTTCATTTTTTAATTAGACTCTAGAAACTTATAATTGTTTAAATCATGCATCTGCACTATTTCCTACAAGCTTTCATAGAGCACATCCTGATGAGTAAGTTCTTCAAAAAAACATATAAAGGCATAGCCATAGATATTACCTGAGTTTAAATACATTATATTAAAAATTATTCACTTTTTTCAATCTGCGGCTGTAATCCTAAAAGCAAAATAACTATAAGAAAAAAACCCAAACCATTTTCTAGATAGTCCCTCTGAATGTGATACCTTAACCAAGCATGGATTCTGACTAGGATTTCTGGTCTATATGAGGAAAGAACATCACCAAAATATGCATACTTATGTGAACAGAGGTATGCATGTGAACATCAAAGAATTTGCTCTGGTTATTCCACATAAGGCACAGAAAATATGTTTAAAAAAAAGAAAGGAGGATGGGGGCAGAACACATTACCCCAAAGTGGCAGTAATAGATACAACTTTCAGTGAGCATTTGCGGGAAAGTACAAAACGTTAACATTAGCCAAACATAAACCCAAATGTTAATACTTTGGGGTTTGTTTATTCTCAGGAGTCTTTTAGCTTATGAAGAAAAACATATTATTAAAAGTCAGCAAGAAACCAGAACATTCTGGCATCAGTATAAGCTACGTTTTAAAAGCCAAGAACGTATTCAATATTCTACACCAAAAAAGAGACTTCCAACAGAAAGTAAACAGGGAAAAGAGGGGTTTTTAGGTGTTCAAGAAGGATATTTCTTTTTTAAGAGTAACTATAACTTGTTCTTAGCTTGCTATAAATTGTCAACAAACAACTGAGGCTAGTCTGTGAACCTGCCTGCCTACCTACCGCATTTATTTGCCAGTGGTCAGTCTAAAATTCAAGGGGCGAGATTGCAGGCATAAGCCTGAGATCCCCTTCACCTCTCATTCTCCTCTGAAGCTCAGGAGACATGAATGGCAACACACAGAGGAGATTCAAAACTTACAACTCAAGATGCATTGTCTTTGTGCTCCCAGAGACTTCCACATTAACACATTCCTGTTAGAAAAGTAAGTCCCTGTTACAAAATTATGATTATTTTCAACAAGACAGTTACCATTTACTGCAGCCTGTCTGGAAAGGTGGCCAGATCCCCCCAGCACTGCCTGCCTGCCTGCCCACCTGCCCTGCTGGGAGGGGAAGGGCTGCCGGCAGCACCGATTGTCCACACCTGGGTGCAGGCCTTGGCCTCCTGGAGCATAGCCAAGGCAGAGCACTTCCCCCCAGGCGAAGCTGGGACCGTGGTGGGAGCGTTCCCCCCGGATCCCTCACAAAAAGGCTGGGTGACCAGTTGACATCCTGGCATTCTGGGCCTGTCTCAAACACAGGCTGCCTGGGGGGAGAGACGGGCTCCTAGGGGAGCCTGCCCTGAGGAGACACAGCTTTCTTGGGGTGGATGAGTTTTCACCATGATTTATTTACTGTGATATTTCATTCTGCTCTCGATAGTAGTTGTCGAGCAAGTCCCTACAGAGTGAGATAATAATGTCCCATTACTGCTGCTAATGGGTACAGCGCTGCCACAGGCCGTGCCTGCCAGGGGATGAGCCTTTGGAGCAGGGTTAGGATTCACCAGTACGATCCCAGGGAAGGATTTAAACCACAGGAGTGGTAACACACGAAGTGCCCAAAACAGTACCACGGCAATAACGCTGGGGCTACCAGCACAGAAGCACCATCACCAACATGCAGTAAAGGGGGGGGGGGGGGGGGGGCAAAGCAAATGCACCCCCAAGATGAGCCGCACCATATGCCCTGCGCATACCCACACACTGTCCTGCATGGTGACTGAGGGGCAGGCTTTGTTACATGTGCTCACGACCAGCTCTTCCAGGAGCCCAAAGTGGCTGGCCAGGCTACGTACATATGCATATATGGGCTCTGTATGCCCCTTCCCTACTGGGGAGACTCAGCAGCTGTGGTGGGGGGAGGCTGCTGCGGCCCAGGGCGGGTGCTCTCCTGGGGGTAAGCCACAACATGGCGTCGGCCTGCTGGAGGAGGCTGAACCTTATTCTCCAAGGCCACAGGCAAGGCCTGTGCTGCCACTTGCAGACCTTGCACCTCACCTCCACACAGAGGAGGGCTGAGGGTGAGGTGGCAACAGTGTGAGAGTTGCAGCAGGGCCCAGGTGCCATGGCAGCGCTCTGGGAGCTGGGCTTTGCTCCCCCCAGCACTGTCTCTCCTCCAGCCTCCCTTCACACCACTCCCTGAGGGGACAGGGCTACTGCTTGGAGAGGGAGAGTAGGGACAGCCCAGAGGATCCTCACCTCTGCCATACACACCACACAGAGATTTATTTTTCAATTAGTGGCTCAATGTGCATGGGTTTGGGTTGGAGATAAAGGCACAGAGATTAACAGGACTGTTTTAAAGTACTCTGGTGTCACGTTACTGATTGGGATATGGTAATGCAGATGGTATGAAAAAAAGTTTGTTCAAGCAGACCAGGATATTCTCAGCCATCTATATGTTACTAAAGCTTGAATTTTATAAGCGAGCAGAGGGCTCATTCTCATTCACTCCAGTGCTGGAGACAGGTGCCTGCTGTCCTGTGACAGTGGGAAGCCTCCCCCGCCTGCCACTCTGAGCGTGCTGGAAAAGGTATCTCCCCAGAAGGAATCAACACCATTAAATACTCCCTTATACTGCCAAAGCAGTTTAAAATAATTTCTTGCCCCCACCTCCCATCTCTTTCAGCTATAGGAAGAATTGTCTTTTATGACTTGACAAGCTCTAACAGACTCACTTCCCCTTTCCGACTAGAAAGGGCCAAGTCAGGAAATCAGAAAATATAATGTGGATGAAGAGGCCATAAGTGGCTAGGGATGACGTTGGTCCTGCCCTTGCCTCATTTAGTTTCTAGTGGATATGAGATTCTGCTTTTTCTTTTAATACTTGTCTGAGCAGTATGAAATCACACCTCATGCATTGTATTTATATTAAGTTGAGGTGATCCAGCTAATGGGAAACCTGTTTTACTTATTGAAAAGTTCCTTTTATAAGGAGCTTGAACCCAGCAAGCAATGATCCTAGGTGAGTGTTTGGCTTGCCTAGGAGCTTTTATTGGGTGCATGAGAAAATGATGACGAGGATTTTCAAATGCCTGCTACATAGTGTTGAATTTTCTCCCGCATAATTTCTAGCTAGTGAGAACTAACATTTAAAATTAAAGTATCTGAAGAAGCAGAGTCTCCAGCAATACAATGTTTGCCAACTACTATGCTGCAGAGTGCCTACTGCTTAGGAGTCAAAAACCTTTGTGAAGCATTTAACCTCCTGGATTTCTCACCTAAATGCAATAATACATTTATGCATTGTGAAAGAGCTTTTTTTGTTTAAAAATATGATCAGCTCCACATAGCAAAAACTATACACATTCCAACAAGCCATTTTATTGTTTTCTTCCAACATTTCCACATTTTTATTGCTGCTTTATTATAAAATATACTTTTCAGCATAAAAGCTGTACAGAACCTTTCATAGTTACTTGTATAGGAAGGGTTGGCTGAACAGCTGCACACAAAACCCTGCCAGCATTCCAAAGATGTACGCATTGCAGGTCAGGGTCAGGTCACAGAAACAGTCTCTGAAAATCCAAGCTTCTGCAGATACCACAGCCAGGGACTCCTGTATTTGGAGCACAAGATGCTATACTAGTATTGTAACCAAACCCGAGCAATAAGGAAGCATGAAGGTCTGTTTTATTCTCTATTGCAGACTGAAAAGTGAGGTATCTTGTGGCACAGCTCCCACTTTTCCTTCCACAAAGTTCGTTTCAGACAAATTTTATTTCAAATGCAGATAGCCAGCAGTTGTTTGGTAATATATGCTAAGCAAATTCAATGCAACACAGTGTAGGCTGCATCATGAAAAAAATAATTAGTAAAATATCTGCTGACCAGGCTATCAAAGAAGCACAGAGTTTAAGTTACAAATTTTATTTTCTAAGGGAGTGAAATTTATGCAATAAGAGAGTTTCTTCAGACCTCGTAATAGCTTTTGAACACAGTAGGAAACATCAACCAAGCTTTTAAGATGAAGATCATTAAACCCCTGCAAAATTCACACACATACAGAATCAGTATTTGGGTAGAAGGGGGGGAAGATAAGCAGAACTGACTGTGTCAGTCAATCAAACAGGATTCACATAGCTTAGAAATACCCACCACAAGCAAGCATTTCATAGGGAAAAATGAGAGCAGCAGAGAAGAGGTTTATTGTACTAGAGGATAGAGAAAGGAACAAAGAATACAAATCTGTAGGAAACTGGGCCTCCTTATTTTCATTCCTAAGAGAAGAACATATTCTGTTAAATCAAGCAGAAAATTACATATTGTCTTTTTGGTTTTCTTGGACAACTCCCAGAGTACTTAATGACAGGGTTGAAAAATGTGGACTTTGATCGTATCAGTGGACCTTCTTGCCTGCAGAGAGCCCAAAATGCCATGAAACAATGGCAGATTTTTGAGCCTAGTCCTTTTCTGTAGGAGACAAGGGATTAACTTAAGTACTTGGGGCTCTAAATTTATCTTTTTTACTGCAACAAGTATCTACTAGTCTGAAGGAAAACTTGACAAAGATTAAGTTTTTCTTAAGGTTCTTCTCTCTGTTTTTAAAGAGTCCAGTGACATGGTTTGTTTTTAAAAATATATGGAGACAAAAAAACCCCATAATTTTTTACCCTCTTTTTTTAGACATCAGCTCCTGTTCTATTGCAGACATTCACACACACACACGTGGATGTGCAGAGTTTGGGTCATAAAATAAAGAAAGCTATTGATCAGCTTTCAGTGCTTTTTAGAACAGCAAGCTTCCTCCTATCAATTGCCATAAATATGTTCCCCCTAGAGAGAACAACCCTAGGGCAACCTCACTTTGTAAACCACTTGGGGAAGTTTACAAAATGGGATGGTTTTGAAGGTAAGCCAGCAATTTTGTACAAATTTGTTGCATAGTCTCAAATATATTTAGTAATTAGAATGCATTTTTTGTAGTATTTCCATAATCAGATTTGGGATTAAACGAATCCAACCTGGCAAGATAGGGAAGAGCATCTCTTTCCTAGCCTTTGGTTTACTTCAGTGTAGAACATTAGCAAGGTGAACACTACCTATACTAATGAACAAATGCGAATGACCTCATCTGTTTAAGAGTTCATAGGATGAAGGCCTTTGCAGCTGGAGTGAATAGTGTACTGAAATTAAAATTATAAACCAGCATCCAATGCAGAGAAAGATAAGCACTAAAATGCCAGAAAAGAAAGGAGCTCCAAGGAAACCAAAGGAAAGCTGAAGTAGTATGCGTCACTTATATTAGCGTCTCATGGTTTTACTTCCTCTTACTGTGATCCTTTGCTGTTATCACATGATGATGAGCAAGAGTCATCCATACGGGGGTTCATAACTGCTGTCTTCAGATTTCTTGCCTTTATTTATCTCCACAGTACAGCTCAAACTGAAATTGCTATAGCAATTACAACAATTCAAGTTCATACCTTAAGTAGAGATCAGGGGAAGCTACTGCAGCAAGTAATCTGGATAGATGCAGTCTCTAGCATATATACTGTAAGATCTGCTTATGCAGAGGGAAAGTATTCTCCACTTTAAGGAGTGGTTGGTTGAGTTGTAGCCCCTCTTCAGTAAAACTCTTGCCTTGTCTATACATATGCAGCCTTAGCTGGCCCAATACTTTTGTTTTAGGGCTTTATATATTTT